GTGTTAATCACATTAAAGTGATTATTATAAAACTGGAATAAATGTTCGAGCGTCTGAAGCTGATTAATACTGTTCTTGTTGTCATGACGACGGGGGGAGTTTTGATGGCGACCTTCTTCCTCTCTCTCAGGTTTGGTCAGAGGGAGGTCCGGCTGATCCGCTCAGAGTTCTCCAGCGGGCTGGAGCGTGGAGACGCCAGGAAGAAGAAGAAGGAGGAGGAGGAGGAGTGATGAAGAAGAGTCTGATGTTGAGCAGCTGAGGCGATGGTCGATGTATGAAAGATGTGATTGATGAAGACGTGTGAGCGAGCTCCTCCTGCATTGGCTGCTGGCTCGTCGGTCGGTGACGTGATGTTTGAGTTTCAGACGGTCGCAGAATAACGACCATCGCACCGATCGACCCTCACCACGTTTCTGTCGCTCCGAGCTGCGAGTTTGAAACCCGAGTGCTGCTCGTGGACACGCCCCCGACTCCCCGCCCTGTTCCTGACTGTGCGTCTGTGTCATTTGTCCTTAGGGGCCACCGTACTGCGTCCCCAACATGAACCCGTGCTAATAAAAGCAGATGTTTGTGTGCAGATGTTTGTGTGCAGATGTTTTCACTGTTGAAGCAAAGCAGACGAGATCCTCGTGGCAACGCTTCAGTGTTGGGGGGGGGGGGGCTCTTTTGTATTGAGGTTTAAATTTTGATCTCGACCAAATATGGTTACTTCCTGGAACAAAGCCATAGCCTTAGAGGTGGGGCGAGGAGCTCAGAGGAGAGCCGCTCATAGGTCACCACACAGAGTTGCTGTAACCAAGCCTGGGGACCAATCAGAGCCCTCGCTTTCACTTTGAATCAAAGGAAAACAACAATAAGAGTTTTTATTTTCTTTATTGAAAATGTAAAAAACGAAGTCAGAGCTACAGAAACGCACAGAGAAGTTTGTGGACTCGCTGTCCACACGTGAACGTCACTGTTGTTTTCTTGCTTAAGCCCCGCCTCCTGAGCCCCGCCACCGCCACAGCAGTTTCGGCTACGATCTCCACCTGACCTGCTTCAGCTGGTTCTCCATAACAACCAGTCCGAGCCGACACCAGCCCATTCCCGCCGCTATCGGCTTGGCGATTGGTGCCGCAGCTTTGTGAGGCGAGCGTGGGCAGGAGGTTAAAGAACAAGGTGTGTTTAGCGGCGAGCAGATCCCTGATGACGAGGAAGCGCCAGCCTGCTCGTTAG